CCCCAAAACCCCAAAACCCCAAAACCCCGTAATGAATAGATCAGAGATTATAATAGTTTTGATTTAGAATAGATAAATATTATTATAATTCAATTTAATAATGAATTAACAAGCATCATTCGACAATTAATCATCTGCTCAATAGAATCAAGGAAAGACTGAATAGAATTTTTATTCATCCTAAGCTACAAATGCACTGCTAGATGGCACACCTGATTTAATCAAAGAAGAGTTTTAATCAAATTAAAAAGGAGACAAAAATAAATAAAATGACGAGTCTCCTTAACATACATAGTTATCAGAGGAAGAGAGTCCAGATAAAATAAAATTAAATAATCGATTTCCAAGGAGAAACGGTACTGAGTGTCCCTGGGCAATCCCTTAAATATTTGGGCTTTTGATCATTACACTTAATCTAATTCAAAATATCGTCATTGATCTACCCTGCCTTGACTACTAACTTGGATTTGGAGGAATAATATTGTTCAGTGTACTACTTTTCTTGAATCTGATGATTTTTGTATTTGCTGTGATTTGCGCTAGGAAAGACCCTACAGATCCAATAATTTACGAATAAAGAAAAATAAAATTCTAAGGGTAAGGTTATTTTTCTGCTTATAGAATTATAGATTGGCTTTTGATGATGCAAATTATGAATATTTCTGTGAGAGATGCGATGCACATGTTATGGAATTGACAAAGCATTGTAATAGGTGCAATAGATGCACTAAGCACTTTGATCATCATTGCATTTGGCTTAATAATTGTGTCGGCTACAATAATTATAGAGATTTCTGTTTACTAATTGGCTTCATGCTAGCAAATTCAGTTTCAAGTGTTATTGTAAAATCATATCTTTGTGCTAATTTACTTAATAATTCTGATAAGTATCGCGGATTGATTTCTTAATTTAACAAGGTAAATTTTATAATTCATGTCATTCATATTTAGTACAACATAAATGTCATTCATGTTCATACTCTGTATGGCTTTGAAGTATTCATAATCATCTTGAATGCAGTCATTTCATTGGCTATTGGATACCTTTCTGCTTATCATTTATGGCTTAAGTTTAATGGATTAACAACATATGCGCATATTATGATGATGAGAGACCGAGCTAGAAGGGCAAGATCAAGCTATGAAGAATCTGAAAATGAAATAGATGAAGGCTAAACAAGATTAAGTGTAATCAACGATAAACCTCTAAATAATCAAGCGGGATAAGGGACTAACTAAAGTTTAAAAGGAAATTCCGATAAGGCATAGGCGAATTCCTCAGAGTAGCACAAAGAATCAACTCACTATTCTAAAATTAATGAGTCAAATCTAGATATTAAGCCTGATGAAAATTCAATTAATGGAAACAATTAATAGCCTATAGGAACGGCCCCAACTGTAGATAATAAGACAAGCTAAGAATTTAGCTTAAGATAAGCAGATCCTATATCATATTAATAATTAAGACAAGAATCGTCAAGAATTCTGAACAGAAATACTCCAAATTAAAGTCCGAGATAAAATCAAAATAGAAGTCAAATGAGTCAACAAAGATCCTCTAGTGAGAAATTCAACTATAAGGAAATTCCAGTAACCAAAAAATAAGGTGGGTATCTATTATCTTAAAAGAGTAACAACAACAGAGGCGATACCTCTATGGAGCATAAAATGTAAGCATATATGCTTAATTAATAATTTTTATAGTGTGATAACAAATGGAAATAATACAACAGGCTATAGGTACTTAAAATCATTGAAAGGAGCTTCAAGAAATGATTCTTAAAAGCAGTCATTTATTTCAAAGTTTAAGAATAAGCTATAAAACGCATTAGGAGATTCTAACGCTTAAAGTCCAAGACTTAAGACAAATCAAGAATTACTTTATCCTCGTCTGGGCAGTAACATTTATGAAAGCAGTAGTAATCATTAATTTAAGCAAAAGGCTGTATTATCAAATAGTGAAATATAATCTCCTAAGGATAAGCAGCATATTTCCTTATCTTATAAAAATAGAAAGTAATTTAGGGGTTTCTAGCAGAGCTAAGATGAATACTAAAATGCCAAAGAAGATTTGTTAAGTAGCAATAATAATATCAAGAAATGAAAGAGAACTCATAAGTATTGATATTTTAAGTAATCAATTTATGAAGCTTTTTATACCAAGTTGAATTCAAGATTTATTAACCTATCTATCTTAATTTGATTATGAATTACTTAATTTTTTAATTTTTTACCTTTCATGGGGTTTTGGGGTTTTGGGGTTTTGGGG